AAAAGAATCAGAAAAACAAGAACAAACAAAACCTAAATTCAGCAGAAGAAAGTTAATAATAAAGATCAGGGAGGAAATAAACAAAATAGGGATTTTTAAAAAAAAATAGAAAAAAATCAATAAAACCAAGAGCTGGTTCTTTGAAAGGGTAAAGAAATTGACAAACCTGTGGCCAGGCTCACCAAGAAGAAAAGAGAGAGAACCAAAATAAGCAAAATAAGAAATGAAAAAGGAAAAGTTTCAACCGCAGAAATACAAAAAACAATAAGAGAATACTATGATCAATTATATGCCAACAAATTTGACAACCTAGAAGAAATGGACAAACTTCTAGAAACATAGAGCCCACCAAAACTGAATCAAGAAGAAATAGGTAATTTGAACAGACCAATCACTAGCAGTGAAATAGAATCTGTAATAATAAAAAAAACTCCCTGCAAACAAAAGTCCAGGACCAGATGGCTTCACAGGCGAATTCTACCAAACATACAAAGAACTTATTTTTACCAATTCTTCTCAAACTCTTCCGAAAGACTGAAGAGAAGGGAACATTCCCCAAAACATTCTATGAAGCCATGATCATCCTGATATCAAAAGCAGACAAAGATACCACCAAGAAAGAAAATTACAGGACAATATCTTTGATGAATATAGATGCAAAAATTCTGAACAAAATATTAGCAAACTGAATCCAAAAACACATAAAAAAAATCATACACCATGACCAAGTGGGATTCATACCAAGTTCACAAGGATGGTTCAACATACACAAATCAATCAATGTAATACACCACATTAACAAAAGAAAATTAAGAAACCACATGACCATCTCAATAGATGCAGAAAAAGCACTTGAAAAAATTCAACATCGATTCATGATAAAAACTCTTACCAAAGTGGGTATACAGGGGACATATCTCAACATAATAAAAGCTATTTATGACAAACCCACAGCCAATACAATACTCAACAGTGAAAAGCTGAAAGTCTTTGCACTAAAATCTGGAAAAAGACAAGGATGCCCACTCTCACAGCTTCTGTTCAACATAGTATTGGAAGTCCTAGCCACAGCAGTCAAACAAGAAAACAAATAAAAGGTATCCAGATTGGAAGGGAAGAGGTAAAATTGTCACTACATGAAGATGACATGATACTATATAAAGAAAACCCTAAGGACCCACACAAAAACTACTAGATCTGATAAATGAATTAAGCAAAGTAGCAGGATACAAGATTAACATTCAGAAATTGGTTGCATTTCTTTACACTAACAATGAAAATCAGAAAGAGAATGTAAAAAAAAAAAAGAACAATTCCTTTTAAAATCGCACACACAAAAAAACCTAGGAGTAAACCTGACCAAGGAGGTGAAAGACTTACATGCTGAGAACTATGAAACATTAGCAAAGGAAATTAAAGAGGGTTCAAAGAAATGGAAAGATATCCCATACTCTTGGATTGGATGAATTAATATTATTAAAATGGCAATATTACCCCAAACAATCTACAGATTTAATGCAATCCCTATCAAATTATCCATAACATTTTTCACAGAACTAGAATAATCTAAAAATTTATATGGAACCATAAAAGACCCAGAATTGCCAAAGCAATCCTGAGGGGGAAAATAAAAAGCAGGAGGCATAACTCCCTCAGACTTCAGACAATACTACAAAGGTATAGTAATCAAAACAGTGTGGTATTGGTACAAAAACAGACATATAGATCAATGGAACAGAATAGAAATAAATCCACACACCTACAGTCAATTAATCTTCAACAAAGGAGGCAAGAATATAAAATGGGAAAAAGACAATTTCCAGCAAGTGGTTCTGGGAAAGTTGAACAGCCTCATGTAAATCAATGAAGTTAGAACACACCCTCACACCATGCACAAAAATAAACCTAAAATGGTTTAAAGACTTAAACATAAGACATGACACCATAAAACGCCTAGAAGAGAGCATAGGCAAAACATTCTCTGACATAAATTGTACCAATGTTTTGTTAGGTTAGTCTCCCAAGGCAATAGAAATAAAAATAAACAAGTGGAACCTAACCAAACTTACAAGCTCTTGCACAGTAAAGGAAATCATAAAAAAAAAAACTAAAACAAACAAAAAAAAAAACACAAAAAGATAACCTATGGAATGGGAGAAAATATTTGCAAATGATGTGACAGATAAGGGGTTAATCTCCAAAACATATAAACAGCTCACACAACTCAACAATAAAAAAACAATCCAATCGAAAAATTGGCAGAAGACCTTAATAGACATTTCTCCAAAGAAGACATACAGATGGCCAATAGGCACATGAAAATATGCTCAACATCACTAATTATTGGAGAAATACAAATCCAAACTACAATGAGGTACCACCTCACACTGGTCAGAATGGCCATCATTAAAAAGTCTACAAATAACAAATGCTGGAGAGGGTGTGGAGAAAGGGGAACCCTTCTACACTGTTGGTGGGAATGTAAGTTGGTGCAGCCACTATGGAAAATGGTAGGGAGGTTCCTCAGAAAACCAAAAATAGAACTACCATATGATCCAGCAATCCCACTCCTGGGCATATAACTGGACAAAACTATAATTCAACAAGATATATTCACCTCTGTGTTTCTAGCAGCATTATTCACAATAGCCAAAACTTGGAGACAACTTAAATGTCCATCTACAGCTGAATAGATAAAGAAGAAGTGGTACATATATACAATGGGATACTACTCAGCCATAAAAAAAGAACAAAATAATGCCATTTGCAACAACATGGACGTGACTAGAGGTTATCATACTAAGTAAAGTAAGTCAGAAAGAGAAAAAGAAATACCATATGATATCACTTATATGCAGAATCTAAAATGTGACACAAATGAACCTATCTACAAAACAGAAACAGACTCACAGGCAGAGGTCAGACTTGTGGTTGCCAAGTGGAGGGGGAGAGGGATGGACTGGGAGTTTGGAGTTGGTAGATGCAAACTATTACAGGCTATTGCATTTAGAATGGACAAACAACAAGGTCCTACTGTATAGCACAGGGAACTATATCCAGTCTCCTGGGGTAAACCATAATGGAAAAGAATATTTTTAAAAAAAGAATGTATATATGTGTATAACTGAGTCACTTTGCTGTACAGCAGAGATTGGCACAAACTGTAAATCAGCAATATTTCAATTTAAAAAAGTATTATTAAAAAAAAAAAGACATACAGTGGCTGAATGGATCCAAAACCAAGACCTACAAGAAACTCACTTCATATCCAAAGACATAAACAGATTGAAAGTGAGAGATGGAAAAAGGTATTCCATACCAATGGAAATCAAAAGAAAGCCAGGGTAGCAATACTTTTATCAGACAAAACAGAGTTAAAATAGAGTTAAAGTAGAGACTGTTACAAGAGACATAAAAGGACACTACATAATGATCAAGGGATCAATCTAATAAGATATAACAACTGTAAATATACATGCACCCAACATAGGGGCACCTAAATACATAAAAACAAATATTAACAGACATAAATGGACAAATCAACAATAACATAATACTAATAGGGGACTTTAACACCCCACTTACATCAATGGACAGATCATTCAGACAGAAAATCAACAAGGAAACACTGGCCTGAAGTGACACATTAGACCAGATGAAATTAACAGATACATATAGAGAGAGAACATTCGTCCAAAAGCAGCAGAATACACATTCTTGTCAAGTGCACATGGAACATTCTCCAGGATAGATCACATGCTAGGCCACAAAATCAAGCCTTGGTATATTTAAGAAAATTGAAATTATATCACCATCTTTTCTAACAACAACACTATGAGACTCGAATTCAACTACAAGAAAAAAACTGCAAAAAACACTGACATGTAGAGGTAAACAATATGCTACTAAACAACCAATGAATCACGAAAGAGATCAAATAGGAAATAAAAAAATACCTGGAGACAAATGAAACAAAAACACAATGACTCAAAATCTATGGGACTCGGCAAAAGAAGTTCTAAGAAAAAAGTTTATAGCTATACAAGCTTACCTCAGGAAAACATTTTGAATAAACGATCTAATTTTACACCTAAAGGAGCTAGAAAGCAAAGAACAAACAAAACCCGTTAGTAGAAGGAAATAAATCATAAAGATCAGAGCAGAAATAAATGAAATAAAGGCTAAAAAACTTGAAAAGATCAATGAAACTAAGAGCTATTTCTTTGAAAAGATAAACAAAATTGATAAACCTTTAGCCAGACTCATCAAGAAAAAGAGAGGGTCCAAATCAATAAACTCAGAAATGAAAAAGGAGACGTTACAATGGACACGGCAGAAATACAAAGGATCATAGCTGCTATGAGCAACTATATGCAAATAAAATGGAAAACCTAGAAGAAATTCGTAATTATGTACAATCTCCCAAGTCTAAACCAAGAAGAAATAGAAAATATAAACAGACTAATTACCAGTAACGAAATTGAATCAGTAATAAAAAAAAATCTCCCAGTAAACAAAAGTCCAGGACCAGGTGGCTTCACAGGTGAATGCTACCAAACATTTAGAGAATAATTAACACCTATCTTTCTTAAATTATTCAAAAAAATTTGCAGAGGCAGGAACACTTCCAAACTCATTCTGTGATGTCAGCATCACCCTGATACCAAAGCCAGACAAAGATATAACAAGAAAAGAAAACCGCAGGCCAATATCACAGATGCAAAAACGTAGATGCAAAAGTCCTCAACAAAATATTAGCAAACCAAATCCAACGACACATCAAAAGGATAATACACCATGATCAAGTGGGATTTATCCCAGGGATGCAAGGGTTTTTCAATATCTGCAAATCAAGCAATGTGATACACCATATTAACAAATTGAAGGATAAAAACCATATGATCATCTCAATAGATACAGAAGAAGCTTCCAACAAAATTCAGCACCCATTTATGATAAAAACTCTCCAGAAAGTAGGCATAGAGGGAACTTACCTCAACATAATAAAGGGCATATATGACAAACCCACAGCCAACATCATTCTCAACAGTGAAAAAGCTGAAAGCATTCCACTCTCAGTACTTTTATTCAACGTATTGGAAGTCCTAGCCAGAGCAGAGAGACACAACCAAGTTGGATTTTAGTGATCAATCTAATGGAAAAGTGTATAGTGGATTTAATAGGAGACCCTGTTGGCAGTCTTACCAGCTAGGAATTCAACAGTCAGCCTTACGAAGAAAAGGGAGGAAGCAGCGTATCATCACTTTGCTTTCCTTGAGGTAAACTACTTGACTGTGATAACAGTTCTAATTCAGAACAGATATGTCAACCCAAACACCATTTTCTAATGTTCATTTCCAGTTAATGGATTTATCTAAAAAGACCCTTTGTCTTAGGGACACAGACCTTGCCAACATAGCATTCTCTTTTTAGGACCCCCTTTTTTAAAATTAGAAATGAACTCAATGAATGTTCCATATATTTTACTGCCAAGGCATTTAAAAATCTGTTTTCCTTCAGGAAATTCTCAAACTGGTATGAACTCTTTCTTCCCAGGTACCTCCAGATCATCAGTTACTCGATGTAAACCGGGAGCCAACTGCCCCAGTTCACACAGTAGCATCAGCAGACAACTGTCCCCTCTGTCTGTCACCGAAGAATCTTCTGCTCCTATTCTTGAACTTCAGAGTCGAGGATCCTCTGGAGTTTGTGGACACAGAGCCGAGAAGCAGAACAGATCAGGTATGCGGGTAACCTCCTCTTAAATAGCAGTACGTTTGGTAAGCTTCTAGCCAGCAATGAAAGATCTCACCCTTGGCACAGAATGTAGAGATGTTACATGGACTCTCAGGAGTGCATGTGGGGAAAGTTTATCAAGTGGGAGGAGAAGGAAGAAAGGAAATGTGCAGATATAATCCATTAATGATGTACGGTGTACAGTGTAGCAGAGAAATAATACCAAAACCTACAATTGGAGGGTTTCACATATGGTTAAACAGTGACTTCTAATGAAGTTTATAAGGAAACTAGTTTTCTCATCTTCAAGATGTGAAAAGCCAGCATCTTTTACCTCAATCCTGGGATTTAGTATTAGCACACTGTACCCATTCTGAGAAGAATAAAAGTACCAGAAAAATCACAGACTCTGCTCTTGTCTTTCTCAGGACTGCCAGTCCTTGGAGCTCTTCTAGTTTTCCCAATTTTACACCTCCTTCACTTCAGTTGTCTCCCTGATCAGCATTTACTATTAAATCAAGACCTTTGGCATTTCCTCACGACTGCCTGACCACTTACCAACTCCTGGGTTACTTGGTTACTGGAATTGCTAGATAAATTACCTTAATATATCCATGGGTTTCCCAGCAAACTTATCATTTTAAAATGCAGCTGGGTCCATTAGGCTGCTGCCCAATACTGTTACATTTTGGTGGTGGACATCGTACTGCCTTCCCCAGAGATGCTCTCAAGCTCTGAGTCCATACTCACTTGCTCTCATCATATGACCACACTTCTACTTTCCTGAAAAGACTAAAACAATTGTGTGCTAAGAGATGCTTTCCTCTCTGCCTCAAAGTGTCTCTGTTCTCTTGTTTGCTAATTTGCTAATTACCATCATTGTGGGGACCACCTTTGATTTTTGTGTTTGCTACCATTCTGATGTTGACTCCTTCTGCATCCATGATCACCTTCTCTCCATCTCTTCCACCTACATTTTCAATCTCTCCTTCTCCATTTATTCTTCAGCTTGGCCAGCAACATATTAAAATCTCTTGCATCCTTAAAATCAATAGTGACAACGCAAAAACAACAAAATACTCTATTCAAAATAAGTGGGTAGTGAAAAAAAACCTGAAAAAAAAAAACCCTCAAACTTTGAGAACACTAGCTTTAAAAAATAAACAGAAGAGAGGGCTTCCCTGGTAGTGCAGTGGTTGGGAGTCCGCCTGCCAATGCAGGGGATACGGGTTCGTGCTCCGGTCCTGGAAGATCCCACATGCCGCAGAGCAGCTGAACCCGTGAGCCATGGCCGCTGAGCCTGCGCGTCCGGAGCCTGTGCTCCGCAATGGGAGAGGCCGCAAGAGTGAGAGGCCCGTGTACCGCAAAAAAAAAAAAAAAACAGAAGAGAAATGGTAATTCAGGGGACTCAGGTAAACAAAGGTATAGAAGAAGTGTGAAAGCCTCTTGTAGGGTCCTACTTATCTGATAAGAGGTTTTATACGAGAAAAGATTTTTTCAAAAAAAACCAATATTTTAAAATGGAATCTCAGCAACTATGGACCCCAAGGCTAAAACTCTTTTTTTAAAAGTGAAGAAAATCACATCTTAAATCTTCAGAAAGTTTTAATTGGCTTTAATAAGTCACAGTAATATTCTTATCATCCCAGTTATCTTCAGAACAGTATGTTCCAGTTAACTAAATATGGTTAATAAATTTGCCCTACCTATCATATACAGATTACAAATCTTAAAAACTGTACCGTTAAAGACCACGTGGGAAAAAAAAAAAAAAGACCACGTGGGGCATGATTTACTCTTTCTGTAATGATTCAGAAGACATTTGGGGATATTCCTAGACACCAAAAAGAAAAGAAAAAAGGAGAATAATCTGAAGAGCAGCTCACCATTCTTTCATGAACGTTATGGTACTTAACCTCAAAATGAAGCCCACGAGATACATATTATCGCTGTTTGACAGAGAACCTAAGATGGAATTAAACATATACTCAGGGCCATCCAATGGCAGGACTAGGACTTTCACTCATGCTTCCAAATTCCAGTGGCCTCTACCATCAATTTGTATGACTCCAATCAAGGTTCATAGAAGTGGATGGAATTCCTGGTAAATCAATTTTAATGATATATACAAAACAATAAATCTAAGCAGGACTCTAGAAAATCATGCTTAAAATGGTCAGAAAAATAAAAGAACTCTGGAGAGCCAATCTTTCTATGGTATCTGTAGATAGTAAAAGAATTGTCAACAATTCAATTTAGTTAGCAGAAGAAAGAATGAGTCAATACTAGGTGGGGATTTAGGTGACTGTTGGTGTCATCAAAAATATTCTCCATGCTCTGACGGTGGTACAGATGCAATCTTCAAAGAAGGTGACCGTGAAGGCAGATATCAACTCAAAGGGATACTTAAAATCTTTGTAGAATCGTTCCTCCTTTATAAGCTATTCCCTGAGAATAATGTGATCTGAAGTGTAGTAGAGTACACCTTGCTCTTAATATCACTTCTATCAAACCTCATGCAAGACTGCCATTCCTGCCAGGAAACAGAACTTTTTCTCCAAACCGTTTCTGAAACTTCCAGTGCTTAAACGGGGAGCTCAAGCCTGAAACCTAGACAGAATCAATATTCAGAATAAAAAGTTTAGACCTTGGAGTCATACTGTCTTAGGCTCAACCTTGAACAACCTTTAATACGACTCTGTTTTTTCATCTGTAAAATGGGAATAATACCTACTTAATTGGGTAGGCTCGTGTTCCCTTCCCAGCCTTCCAACACCAGAGTCTCTTATTCCACCCTCTTATACATTTTTGTCTTTTCCCTTTACTCTCTGTGTAAGCCACATGGTCATAGAGGGAATTTGCAGAACTGTTATGAAGTATAGTCTGTACACAGCCGAGGGAGCTGGCTAACATACTTACTGACTCATCTCAATGTCACTGCATCATGGGAGCTTCTCCTAATCATTATGCCCGCCTCCTCTTAACAAGTGCTTCTCCTCTGCTTCCATGTGGCCTTGTATCTGCCACACTTGGCCCTTATCATACTGTATTAGATGTGTTCTCTGGCCTTTGTCTAGATTATGAGCTCAAGTCTTTCTTGTTTGAACCCCTGGAACCCGACTGTCTAACTCCTGGTAGTCTCCATAGGACTTTGTTGAATAAATAAATAAAAGAATCCAGTCTTCATCTTCTGGAGGCCTAGGTTCTGAGAACTCTGTTTATGAGACTTGGAAGTCATGTAGTAATTGCTGTATTCATCCTTACTTGGTTTATATTCTGCAGTGAAGAATTCACTTTCAAATCTTGCTACCCACTTTCCCCAAATAATTATATCAGGAAGCCTTAGCTGGATGAAAGCTTTACCCCAGTGGGGCAGTCCCACCTGGGTCATTAAGCAGTGTGCACACATTCAGCAGGAGAGCCAGCAGGTTCTGGAGAGGAAAAGTGAGAAACCATCCACTCTCACTTGCTATCTGTGGGCTGCACCACTTTCTTAACCCCAGGATAAGCCTTACGCTTAAAGGAGGTCCCTGGAGACACAACAGAATCTTGCAGCCAATTCTGCCTCCTTTCCGCCAGGATTCTACTATCTGGGGACTCAGGGTGACCACTGTTCCCATTAAATTTCCTGACAGGTACATAAATTCATTGTGTTGAACTTGTTTTCTCTATCAGGGCAGAAGGCCTTTATGATTGTCACTTTCAGAGAGCTTTGACTATTTTAGTGTGAAAAAATGCTACTAAATTTTCTTAGTAAATGTAAAAATACAAAGCAGAACTCACTGTGCTCCCAGAAACATATTAAGTCGTAATTTGCTCCGAGATGGAAGGTAATTTTGTGCAGTCCAGACTTGCTCTGTTTTGGGGACACATCCTTTTCAACTTAATAGTCATCTTTGCTGCAGTTAAAAAAAAAAAAAAAGCAACTCAGTGGAATATAACAACAAATACTTATTTCTTGTTCACATTTCACGTCAGCAGACACAGGGTTCTGCTCATTCTCCCACATAGACCCAAAGAGCAGCTTCTTTTTGGGATTCTCCATTCTAGTGGCAGAAAGGAAGAGCTAGAGAGGTAGTGGGACCCTGTGATGCCTCTTGAAGCTTCTGCTGAGAGGTGGCATACCACACATCTGTTTACGTTTGATTAGACAAAGCAGGTTACGTGGCCAAGGCCAAAGCCTTTGGAGCTGAACTGTGTAATGCTCTCACAAGGAAGTGGGGAGGGTACACCCAGGAACAGAGAGCATCCACCGAGTCCATGAGCATCGTCATAGCCTGGATAGGGGTCCAGATACACACTGTACCTTACAGAGCAGAGACTCCAGATTCCAGACAGAAAATGAGCTAGAGTTATCTGTCTCTTCAAATGACGGCAGGAGAAAAAAACAGAACACTGGTGATTCTACTGTCTGCCTTTCTGATTGTTGTTTTATAACTTGATTTCCACACATTTGTATTCCTTTCCTGTCTGCAGGGGATGATGGAACACAGACTCATCCTGAGGATAGCAGCCAGGGAAACAGAATCAAGGCTCGCTGCCTATCCTGTACGTCTGTGGTTCTGAAGGCCATCTGGGGACTTTTGATCATCCTGTCAGTGTCATCGTCTTGGGTTGGAACCACACAGATTGTAAAAATTACTTATAAGAACTTCTACTGTCCATTTTTCATGACTTGGTTTTCAACAAACTGGAACATTATGTTTTTCCCAGTCTATTACTCTGGTCATCTGGCCACTGCTCAAGAAAAGCAATCTCCAATGAAAAAATTCAGGTAGGTTTCATGTTAAATGGCCAGTAGGAGATGGTTTGAAATAATTTCATGCAAATATGCGTAATTTCATCTCTGTGGAATATGAGTTGAGTTGAGGAGTGTGGAGAGGCAGGATCTAAGGTCGGTAGTAAACATATTAACACGAGGAAACAGAATCGGTACCACCCCAAAAATTATTAAGTGTCTACAACATGCCAGGCCCTGTGCTGGTGCTTTTGTGTATCTTAGCTTATCAACCATCATTGGTGGTAACAGCCACGTTTTAAGACGGTGTTAGTTATCCCCATTTTAACACAAGAGGTAATAGGTTTGGAGAGATTCAGGGACTCGTCCACGGTCACACACTTATAAATAATGGAACCCAGATTTTAATTCAGATCAGTTTATCTCTAGCCACGTTTTAAAAGAACAACCCAAGATCTCGAGCCCAGAAAAAAAAAACAACAACAAACTGTATTAATAAGATTATTACAGAAACATTTGCTCAGTATTCTGGACACAGTGGTGTTATAGCAGATGAAATGACTTGGTCTCAGGTAAAGGGAAGTTTGGCCTCGGGATGGTTTAAAGGATGCTGTTCTTTGCTGGCTAGGAGCACAGAGAGTCTTGTCTGTTGGTTTGCTAGCCATGAACTTGATAGCGCCGTGGTTCTAGTGGTTGCTCGGAGCTAAACCTGACTTCTGCAGCCCCATCTTGGGGAGATCAGGAAGCTGGCAGACATGTCATCCAGCCCTGCACAGCACTCAAGGAAGGGAAAAGCAGTGTTCGGGTCAAAGTCCTGTGCTAACAGACAGCTTCTTGAAAGGAAAAGCCAGAACTAAGGAATAACTTCCAGGACGGTCACTCTGATCGCCAAGAGAAAACAGCAGTCTCGACCTCAGCAGACGGCAGTGGGAGAGCGACAGTTTTCTTCACCCACTTACTGCTCCTCGGCAAAATGACAATAAATTTGTATTGCAGGAGCCAAAATAACCTTTCTTTCTTGCCCTTTTACCTAATGAAAGGAAGGAGTGACTGTTACCATTGATGCATTATAAGACTGTCCTTGAAAACTTAAGACACTGTGAAGGCTTTAATCTTCAACTTCCAATTTATCACCAGCTTGGAAGTGCCCGGGAGTATTGAAGTCACCCTGTGAGCTGATTTTCCACGTGTGTCCATGAACGTTCAGCTGTCATTAAAGAAACAAAAACCAATTCAAGAATGATAAATGTTTTCTGGTTTGGAGGAAAGAAAAAAGCCTTATACCTGTTTGGGATTGCTAAAAATACTTTCTATTTCTTCCCATCAAAGTAGACATGATGCTGGGGCATAAGATCTTTATTAATAACAATATTTAATACATGATTGCAAGGGACATGATTATCAGAATAAAATTCTCCCTGTTTGAAAATACCTCCATTTACCCATAGCATGTGTTCCTATGGTTTAGACACACGTGCTGATAAAAACAGCAAAAGTTTAGTCTGGGAAGTAATACCTCAGAACACCTCAAAACAAGCCAAGTCAGTTTTATTGAAGAGAATACATTTACAAGAGGCTCCTGCTGACAGAAGTGTTGTTTGGGGAATGAGTCTCATCTTCACCGCATCTCTCATGCTGAACTAACTCTGAATTTAGTGAGACCTGTAAGTTGACAAGACACCTCCTCCTGTTAGTGCCTAGTGTGAAGTTGCGCATTTCTGAAACTGAATCAAAGAGCTTTTATTGTCGAGCAGAAAACATTATGAAAACCCCTCCACGTGAGAGGTAAACATTGCCAGAAAATGCTGAGATCCTTGATCTTTTCTCCCTGTAGACTCGTTAACACCATCTGCCAAGAAGACACCCCCTGAAGCTCTCGTGGCAGAACAAGGGGAAAATATAGTATATAAGACTGAAAACAGGATTTGTCCCACAGCGCCAGACCCTATACCTATTTCCTCCTTTTCTCTTGAATGCTATGAAAGCATTTCCAGTCTTTTTCTTATCACTACCATCAAAAGAATTTTCAGTAAGGTATCAAATCTAGGTGGTAAGGACTGTTCATTTGGAAGTAGTTTTTGATACGTCAATCATTCCATTTACATACTATCAAGAGAATTCAATTGCCTCAGGTGAATTTGAAATTTAAGAAGAGAAAAATTATATACCATAGTTTTGATGGTATATCAGAAGGGTATCAAAGGGTAATTTCTTAAGGGAAAAAATCTCTAGAAAGCATGAAACTAGAGCCAAAGATAAATTTGCCATGTGTCAGGAAGCTATGAAATGTGCTTAAGATGGCATCTGACATACAGAAAGGGTTCCATAACTAATAGCTGCTGGAACAATGATGAGCATAGTTACGTTATTAGTGTCCCCCGACTTCTAAGCTTCTTTCCAAGTTTTGCCTCCTGTCAATGCCTCTTGTCTAGAAATTCTGATCTCATCATCCCAAGGAGAGACCTACTATTGTTATTTCCTTCTCCATAGAAATCCATCTTTTTTTAAAAAAAAAAAATCACATTTCCCAGCACTTACTGCTTAAATGGCAAAAGGTTTTACCCAGGTGAACTGGCGTTTGAATGGAGAGCATTTTTATTAATTCTTGTAACAGCAGTGACAAGTGGGGAGAAGGTTGGCAGTGAGACGAGAAGGGAAGAAGAAAGGGTAACAAGGAGGAAGCCAATACCTGGGGGTCAGGATGAGCCAGGCCAAGAGCCTCTGCCGGGCAGCAGCCCTTTGCCTGGGGGGACTCTCCCCATCCATGTGCCTCCACTGGCTTCCCCATGGGGCAGGGTGTTCCCTCTCCTGAATCCAAAGTCTTTGCTGGAGAGCACTCTACCCAGCATGATGGTGGGCTCTGGGAAGGAAGAACCATCACTGGCTAAGACCAGTGATAAGAAAAGAAATACTTTAATCAGAAATGGATTTGTTGTGGTTCTTAATAAACGTGTATTTTAAAGGACATTTAGCACTTATAGATGTCAGCATAAACCCACGACTCTCCACTCCAGCTCTCCCTGGCAGACTTCCTCACAGAGCAAATCCCTTTGTAAGTACAGAACACAAAATGTGTGCCCAGTTGCTCTATGAAAACTGCTGCTTGCTCTGTGTGTAACTCTGATTTGAGTATCTCAAAGGTAGGGCTTTAGAAAGGCCATCCATTTTATAATACTGTAAATCAACTACACTTCAGTAATACAAAACAGGCCATCCATTTTATAATAATGTAAATCAACTACACGTCAATAAAACAAAACAGAGAGGCCATCCATTTACCTGTGTGTGTGAGCACGTGTAATTTCTGTTTACTTTGCAAAAGGCTTTGCCGCTGGCTTATTTAGTCCCTTCATTGATGTTTTGTCTCCTTCAAGTTAAAATTTAGCTTTGGGAATCCCATTTCCATTTTACAAAAGTCTTTCCATGTTGGTTGTCTGCCACATGAAAGTAAAGTCACCACATGACTGTCTATGTGTTCAAAACGCATTTTTAACCTTCCCAGAATCACTGGCCTATGATTCCCTGTGCTCTCAGCTGCTTGGAAGCAACGTTTACCATGAGACTTGATTTTGAAAGCCGTATCCCTGTGCTTGGAGCCTCACCACTGTGTCACGCCCTCCCCCCATGTGGTCCTCCTATGGGGTACATTGCTTCATACATGGGAGGCAAACACTGGCTGGAGATTACTTTGCTTTGCAATACTTTGAGGCATAATTATTTCTCTTCAGAAAGAGCTAGAAGAGAAACCAGAAACTAGTATTACATAGAGCCATTTAAATAGATTTATAAACATTATAAATGTGCAAATATGAAGAACTTGTTGCTTTAAACAGAATATTTATACTACTCTTGAAAATACAATGCCTGGCACAAGATAGTTGCCCAATGAATGCTTGAATGTTCACGTACAACTGAGTGAAAACAATAAAGCTGAATTTTCAGAGCCTGTTTTCAGTCCATAATCAAAAAGGCACTGCTATTCTATCACTTTTGATGTTGCCTATATGTATCGCTAGCTTCTACATTTTGATTAAAACAATCCTTTGGGCTAAATAATCAATTTAGTCAGAAACCAAGCAAATCAAAGATTTAACTGAAATGACTATTTTTACACAACGAATTCAGACAATTCCTCCAGAATGGCCAGGTGTTTGTACATAAATGCAACCTGAATTTTATTTATTTATTTTACCATTTGGGGGTTATCACAGATGCTTCCTTCATTTTTTTCTGCCTTAAAAATGCTAGAGGAAAAGGAAATTTGTCCATTGGGCAGACATGTCAGAAAAAGGCATAAAGTTTTAGGACTAATAAAATCCCAAGCTGTGCATATGCCTACACATGATACGTGAGTCTGCATGTGGTCTGTAGCCCATTCAAACAGTACGAACTATCTTCACCCTGTTGTATTCGTCCACTGGGAAAGAATCATCTGTCTCTTCGAATAGCTAGTAATTCCAGCAACCATTCATTTCTGGACTTCTCCGGGCTTCTCTGAGAATGTTTGGCAACAGCAGAATGGCTACCCCCAGGAATCTCCAGAGAATGGGTAGGAAAGGCTTAGCTCTGTGCCTGGGGAGATGTGGACTCCTCCATGGAACCCTTTGCACTCACAGCCCGTAGGTGGCAGAACTGGGTTCAGTAGGTTCCACAGATGAATGATGGGTCTTCAGGGTTTGTGCTCTTGGCTAAAAATGGCTATCAAGAGTTAGTCTACACAAGATGTGTTAAAATTAATACCTGACTATTAACCTCTATTTCTTCTCTAGGGAATGCAGTCGAATTTTTGGTGAAGATGGTCTGACACTGAAGCTCTTTCTTAAAAGAACTGCTCCCTTTTCTATTCTATGGACTTTGACTAATTACCTGTATTTACTGGCTTTAAAGAAGCTGACAGCCACAGATGTCTCTGCTCTGTTCTGTTGTAACAAAGCCTTTGTCTTCTTGCTGTCGTGGATCGTGCTGAAAGACAGGTTCATGGGAGTGAGGGTAATGGCACACTTGATTCAATGCGTAAGGCCGCATTTAATCATAGATCCTTGGTATCAGGAGAGCTGCTTTGTTTTGTGGAGTTTCTGCAAAACTTTTCCCATTGGTTCTGAGTACAGATTGAAATTTGAAGTTGCATTAGGACGCCCAGGCAGTTACAACATCATGAGACGATAAAGAGATTGTTTCCATTGGAATCAGACAGCTGATTTCAACAGGAGGCACTCAGGGAAAAGAAGTTCTTTTCTTAGAATTAATGGTGTGATCAACTCCTTCCGTCCTCAGGAAAGAAGGGTCTGAGAAAATTAGCCACAGTAAAGATTATGATTTGCTTTTTTTTCCAATCAACATATGTTGGGACAACTCCCTCATGTCTTTTCCCCCCAGAGATGGATTTAATTAATATTGGTGGAAGTAGATAAGGTTACCAAACAGTAATTAAAGTCACCAGTAATGGCACGATGCTTTTAAAAGTGGCTATATATCTAGTGTGACTAACTAGATATGGAACTAAAAGCAATAACTCGTACTTTGGGGTACAAATCCTTAATTGAACTGCATTAAACTTCCACCAGCCACTTCAGTTCTGAGTTCATCCCTTTCACAGGTAACATGGATTTAAAAATAAAATTTTTTTTGTATGCCTGATCTTTGTTAGATTGATGGAAAACCACGCAGATGTAAGGAGCCAGACCTCATTCATATAATCTGGTATGCCACCATGATGAAAATATTGAGTAAACAGTTCTTTGAAAGGAAGTCCAAACGAATAGCCTTCTTCCAGAAGATAAACATCACACAATTATTGTTCTCCGAAAGAGATGTCCAAGACTGGATTTGAAACACGTTTTGCTATCAAAATATTGCTCTTGTTGCAATGATTCCAGGGTCCTTGCCCTGCTAAATGCTGAAATTCATGTTTATATTAGAGAGAGTTTGTGACAGGTATCATCCTGAAAACTTCATCTTAATAGCTAATTAGCTGATTCTGGTTGTATCTTGGGAAATGCTGCTCAGAAATTCAGAACTGAAACTTGACATGAACAAGTGAAAAGCTACAGCAGAAGACAACACAAGAAACTGAATCAGTCCATGATACCATTAAACTATACCAGATGTGGTCCCATATTCATTCTCCATAGCTAATCTTAGATTTCACACCCAAAGGGCTTAGCATCATGTTTTCACACATGGAGCATTGGTACTGTCTGTCCACCATCACGTGCCCTGACAAGTACTTGAGAACAAGAACCTTCTTTACATTGCTCACTGATCCATTCAGCTTGGGCTACATAATTTGTGGAAAAGTGAAAATGCAGGCCTCCTGTTGAAAAAAATTGTGACTAGGGCTTCCCTGGTGGCGCAGTGGTTGAGAGTCCGCCTGCCAATGCAGGGGACACGGGTTCGTGCCCCGGTCCGGGAGGGTCCCACATGCCGCGGAGCAGCTGGGCCTGTGAGCCATGGCCGCTGAGCCTGCGCCTCTGGAGGCTGTGCTCCGAAACGGGAGAGGCCACAACAGTGAGAGGCCCACGTACCGCAAAAAAAAAAAATTGTGAATAGTTTCAACATGGCAACATCAGGGAGCCCACTGCATCTGCACAGGTCATATGCCCATGAAACTAGTTCTACCTCTATCTCTAACTCCTAGAATGATACAAGGGACAAAGTAGGGACTCTACGTATTTAAGGATATAGTGAATGAACTCATGCTTACAAGATCTTTCTCTTGTCTATCTACTACCACGTTGGATCACCCATGAGTATTTGGAGGGCCTTGTCAGAAGAGAGGGCAAGAAAGGAGATTTAGGGGCTTTTCTGCTCTTTCAGTGTCATGTGAATACCAAAAGGAAATAGATATGTTCACTATTAGGTTTACCAGTGAGGATATCAATTGTATTAGAGTGAATGAATGCATTTAACCATGGAACTTACTTATGCAAGGGGTCATATCAAAAGAAGCTTGATGTTTATTTGAGGACTGTTAGGGGGAAAAGCTCAGCTGTGTAACATTTAAATGGCAGATTTAGGAAATCTGCCTAGAAGCTACAAAGCATTTCTATCTTAAAATTTGCATCTGTGGTGGGTTTAATGGTGGCCCCCAATAAGGTGTCCACACTCTAATCCCCAGAACCTGTGAATGTGACCTTACTTGGAAAAATAGTCTTTGCAGACATAATTAACTTAAGGATTTTGCAAAGAGGAGATCATCCTGGTTGATCTGGATGGCTCCTAAACCCAATAACAAGTATCCTTATAAAAGACACACACAGGAAAGACACACAGGAGAGGAGAAGGCAATGTGACCACAGAGATAGAGATTGGAGTGATGCAGCCACAAGCCCAGGAAAGCCAGGGCAGCCGCCAGAACCTGGAAGAGGCAGGAATGTAATATTATTCTCTCCCAGAGTGGCTGTTGGGAGCGTGGCCCTGCCCAATTTTGAACTTCTGGCCTCCAGAACTATGAGAGAATAGATTTCTGCTGTTTTTAGTAACCAAGTTTGTGGTAATTTGTTACAGCAGCCTCAGGAAACTAATACAGCATCTGTAAGTAATAAGACCCGATAGAAAAATTGTTGAGTAGCCAATAAGTAGTTGTTAACAAGTAAATACGTAAATTAAGACATCATAATGACAAAATAGTAAGTATTAATGTCAGGCATGCTGGGAGAAGTCAGGTATTTTTCTTTTTAAATGACAGGAAGTGCTTTACTTCTCACTGTGAAACATTAGGAAGTGTTTAATGCCATGTTCTAGAAGAATGTCAAGGTGTAATTTTAATAATGCCCATAATCAGGCCATGGAATATAAGAAGCACTGAAACATATTCAGCATTTTGCCTTTTGACCACATCAGCAGTTCTTTTCCTTCTGAGACATATTGAGAACATGTATAATTAGGTCATTTGAGAAATTAGAGGAGGACAAATACAATACTGACAACATAAATGCAGCTCTTATTGCCTACACCCATAAATAGGACACAGCCTGTAGATGCCACCCCACTTGGACTACTCTTTTTTTTTTAATAGTTAAAGGGTTGCTTTCAGTCATCAAATCAAAATGTATATTTCTGACTCATTCTAAGTCTTCAGTAGCTCAGAAAAAGATAGTTTGGGGATTATGATTCTCATTTGCATGACCCCAAGAATTATCACCCTTAAGATAAAACATACGGCCTCCCCTACTTCTTTTTTTTTTTTTTTTTTTGCGGTACGCGGGCCTCTCACCGTTGCGGCCTCTCCCGTCGCCGAGCACAGGCTCCGGACGCGCAGGCCCAGCGGCCATGGCTCACGGGCCCAGCCGCTCCGCGGCATGTGGGATCTTCCCAGACCGGGGCACGAACCCGCGTCCCCTGCATCGGCAGGCGGACTCTCAACCACTGCGCCACCAGGGAAGCCCCCCTACTTCTATTTTTCACGTCAAAATGACACGATGAACCGAATAAAGGATGCTTTAAATTATAATATCAGTAAATACGGGTTTATCTGGAGCACCAGTTGGCCAGCATTAGCAATGCTCACATAAAAACTAATTATATGTTTTGAATAACTTGTTAATATTTAGTTTCCTTGGAATTTTGATTGAATCACAGATGGAACGGTAGTCTGCCATACATTTAGTTTTCTATTATGAAATTCTTTCAGCCAGTTTGCTGGTGAGTTTTGGTGTGTTAAAAAAACTCATAAGTAGTTGCTTACAGCTGATGTATGATAATCATGTGGAAATTAGTAAACTTCTTTAAAAGACCTTTCTTTTTAATTGCAAAAATGTTGCTAAGTGAGAATCCAGCTCTTGCGGCATTGAAGATGGGTGTTTTTCCCATCTCCAAGATCCTGGTTTAACTAGCATTCTTAAATTCATCAGAACAAGAATATCACTGAATATCAATGACATTGATATTGATCACAGAATATCAATAAAAAAAGGTTCTCCTCAAAAAAAAAAAAATGAGCCACTGCTTCAGGTTTTCTTCTCTATCACTGGCATCCATTTCACTCCAATGAAAAGTAAATGTCAGACTAGAAAATTAACACCCTTTCTTTCAGATCTTGTCCCCCCTTATTTTTATATTATTAATTGAAAATGTTCATTCATTTTCAAATTTCCTTGAACATGTGAAGAAAATTGGTGGGCGATGAATGGTTCAGCAGACCCCAACTTTTATAGCAGATTGAGAAAATGAATTTGTGTCCCCCTTCAGCTTGGTAGCCACCTATTTTCTAGGTATAATTGGGTCCTTATGTGTTTAGTTTCCCAAACTTTTGTAGACTTTCCTCCATCCGCCAAGAACTGACTGGGGTATGACAGTTAAATGGAATCTTTCATTGCTTAAACTGCTCTTCTCTGAATTCAAATTGGGCTCCAGGGCACTCTAAATCAATCAGGACCCTGGAGCTGAGCTGCTACTGATTTGTGCCAATATTACATATTTAGATAAGATTCAAGACAATCTTGTTTCCATCTTGCCTCTGATTGGCATTTCTGCAGTTAACTCTTCATTCCTGGGAAGTGCAGACTGCTCTGTCTAGAACCTTCATGCTTCCCTCTGGAGGCAGTAGAGGATGGGTAGTGGGGCTCTTCCCCTTTCATCCTCCTCTTGGCAGGAGAATGATTCACGAATACAGGGAGGGGAAAGCTGAGTTGGGAAGGCTCTCCGATTTTATGCCCTCAAGGAACCCATAACCCCTGTCAACAAGGTGCAGTCAATAGGTCTCCTCTACCTTCCACACGTACTCTGGAGTCTTTCCTTCCGGGATTTCTTTCCTTCTCTTCCATCCTGGTCTTCCTTTGGGATCGTTTTCAGATGGGTTTTTTTTCATATAAAAACAGATGTGTATGTGTGTGGCAGTGGGGTGGAGGATGGGAATCTTAGTTTGAGTCTCAGGCTTGACCTGCCCCGACCCAGGGACCCACCCACCTCCCCCTCACACACACACACACACACATACATAGAGTATCCAGACAGCTGTGGACTGCCCACCTCTTTCATTTCTCACACGTCAACTCTCGTCCAATTTCAGTGGCTCCGAGTAAAACAGATGGCTCTACTTTATGGAAGCTTAAACGTAACATGTGGACAAGTTTAAGGATTCTGTGTAGCCATGGTTCCCTGAAAATGGACTCTATCCAAATACACTCAGAGGGAAGAAGGATGATCACCAGTGCAGGTCTCATTGGCCAAACTATGAATGTGTATCCCACCTTCAGCTGTTAACCTTGAGTCTTGAACTTGAGTGCAGTCTGGCCAGCAGTATAGCTTTGAGGCCCCCCATTTCAGAGCCTGATGTAGGCTTGGGATTCAAGGTCCATTGAAAGCCGGGGAAGCTCCTACCTGCTCCACCCAGCTCCAGAAACAGGGTTAACCACACGGCAAATTAAGGAAAGATGTTTGGGTTACAGTTAGAAAGAGAAGCAGTTAAAGGTTCATCTCAATACCCTGAATCCTAAAAGAGCTGATATTGTCATGCGAATGATAGTTCTGGAAATCATTCGTCAGTGGGAAACACAGTGACTGTAATGAGGCTCATAAACCGTCCTGGAGATCCAGAGCAGGGCCGGACCCTTTTGGGTTTTGAGGCCCTGAGTCAAAAGAGGAAAACAATGAAGATAAAAGAAAACAAAAATCAGCCAAAAGCCAGCTATTTCTCTAGGTTTTATCTATACAAACTAATTCTTTGGGATGGGAAAGAAACCTTGCTTTCAGGCAGGGCCACAGGTAGTATACATTTCAGTGAGATCACCAGATGTTTACTGTTAAAGCCCTCTTTGGGCTCTAAGAACAGGTCCCCCTCATGGTCCCCCTCTGATTGGCCCTGAGAGTTGACGCAGAGACTCTGGGAGGGAAGTGAGCCCACAGAGGAAGGTAGTTGGCTCGGGTGGTGATGTCGCTCAAGGAGCACGCAAAGGTAATGGGCTAAATAAATCCTCTTCCTCAGGGTATTCACCCCAGGTGGGCACACCATGATGCGAGAGAACCCAGAGGTTTAGAAGGTTAGAAATGAGGCATCGGCCGCTTTACGATCACTATGGTTACCAACATTTTCACCCAGGTCAGATTCAAGTAACGCTTGTGGTGGGTTTCCATCTTATTTAGACACCTCTGGTTGGTTATGGGGCTGCAACTGGAGTAGGTTGTGAGGAGAGCCATGTTTTTCTGAAGCCAAGCAGGTGGCACCATGACGTGGCACCATCGGCAGAGGAGTCCCTCATGTGGACGCCAATGTGCTCAGAAGCATTGCTGTGTTTGTCAGCATGTGGATGTCACACGTGAGCCCTTCTGACACGGTACTTAAAGCGCTGGCTTCCTGCAGGTACATTTCCAGCATCCTGAGCACAAGAAGAATCATTTCGTACTTTTTTTGTTGAGAAGACAGACTAGTAATCCTTCCTTAACGATTGATTACTTCTGAAAACGCACATGGCTCAGACCTGTGCTTGGGTTACATATTCTCCAGAAATCTCAAGAATATTTACTCTGCAATGAACCAATAGTTCCAGGCAGAACCACTCTAAGATCATCCAAACAACCACTCCAAATGAGCCTGCCACCCAACGCTTCCCTGCATTTTCTAGATTAGCTGAGCTCCCTTCCCTTAGTTCCAACTGTGTAGATAAGAAACATACTGAAAAAAAAATTTTAAACATGGCCATAGAGAACTTGTTCTATCAGATAGCTGTGAAATTTAAATAGAAATGTGGAAAATAATTTCTCTTTTCCCTCCAGGTAACCTATATAACCTATAAATTATTAACCTAAAAATACCTGTTCATACCATAGAGAGGAATTTTTCTAACATTGGAAGTATTCAGATTTTCATGCTTTTGGAACTTAACTAACAGCACTGTCTGGCCCCCTGAAGTGAAAAATGCTTCTCTCCGTGACCGCAATTCAAAGAGACACTGGTATAATTGATATGACAATTTAAGTGGTCTGAGCTAATATTTTCACAAGCACTTAAATATAAAATGTAATGGAGACCTTTAAGACGCTCATCATGACTATAATTCTGAATTGCTATAAAATTATGTAATCTATGTCCACGTCCAATTCCTATCTTGAGAAATCTTATAATAGAAATAAATACAGTGCATACGTATTTTTACTAATGGCTGACTCAGAAAAGTGTTCCCAACCGGGTCATATCCTGGGGATAATGGTATTAAATGTTCAACACTTTCCAGACAGTGTTTTTGGTTTTTCCCTTTTTTTTTAATTTTTTGTATGGACTGTTTGTTTTCAGAATTCCCTAAGCCAAGAATTATATATTATACACAATTGCTTAAACCCAGATATTGTATATTATAGAATAATTTTAATAATTTTAAATATTAAACAGCACATCACGTTAAAGTTTCATTAGGATTAACACTGTGTTCTATTATCCCTGTCTTGAAGACACTACCTATTTTTTTGACTAAGAAAATACATCTGATGTTTGGTAAAAAGAAAACAAGTATTAATTCAAATTTATTATCCTACAAGTTCAGTATTTTGAGGGAAATCTATCTGTGAACATGAATGCTTTAACCTATGAACATTAATTAACACAAAAACAAGTCAGAAACTGCCAGTGTTTAATGTAACTTTTCATTTCTCTGACATCAGATTGCCCAAAGAAATGTTGCAAATCCCTGGCTGAACTATAAATCCCCAAATCAAAGAAAATGATAAGTCTCACAGAATTCCCAGGTCTAGGTAACCACTTCACCATGTTTATTTATGAGTCTATGACTTCCTGTTTGGAAAATTTCCTTGACACCTCACATTGTGTGCATTTGTATTAAATTCTATTCCCTATAGTTTGAGGCATAGTCTAACTGGAACACATGGCTAGAAGGTTTAGAGACTGTGATACTCAGTCAGCAAGAGCAATGACCCCCCCACACACCAAGCAGCCTCCTGGATAACGCTTTATGAAGACAGTTTTTCACTGCTGACAAGTCGGCTTCTGTTCTCAAGTACTCCTGCTGCTTTTCATAAAAGACGCTTTAGTATGGAGCTGGCTCTGAAACCAGCTGTGCCCTTGCTTTGGGTGGTCATTAACAAAAGAAATGCTTTAACAGCATCTAAATTATATGTGCCATCGTTATCATACTTTGCACTGGCCTTCAGCAAGTCTACAGTTGCATGTTGAAGATCTACATTTTGTTGTAATGAATAATTCACTAATAATATTTCAAAGGGTCAAAAAATATCCCACATGCGAGAAATCTATCTACAGGGGAACTGATTTGCTTGCGAATACTCAGAACTGAAGCTTAACAAAATTGATCACCAGGTATATTTAAATTTCCCACAAAGTTGCATCATGATTTTAAAGTCAGTGAGACTATTTCACAAGGAAATGACATAGTGTTTCCTATTCCAGGGTTGTCATTTTACTGTTTATTGTAGCTCTAAAATGTTTTCCAGTAGAACCAGTTCAAGGTAAATTAAAGAGATGCCAACCAGCATTTCACAAAGGAAGTGGACTCCTGTTTGGAATATACCAAGGATCGTATTAATTGACAGTCAACCATTATGATTTCAATCAAATTCTTAATATTTCACTTTATACAGCTAATGCTCTAGAATAATTGAATGAAATTATCTTTCTGTGGCTTAATTTGCATGTAAACAAAAGGAAGAACTAGCCTCCGTTTGATATTCCAAGTGACAGTGCAAACTCAGCTCGCTCCTTATAAATCACTCTGAAAGATTATTCTCTTTCCTTTTTTCACTTTGGCCTAAAAGTGTCCTCCTAGCTGCATTAATATTATGTCTCCATAATCAAGTTCTGGTTATGTGGAGATGTTCAGAAACATGCATTGATCCAAGGAGCTGATTAAAATGTATGCTGAATTGTCTGAGGAAAAAGAACACAGTACAGATGAAAACGCTAAGAAGTGACTTCCTATTAAATTTATTTCACCACTATGGGTATTAATCTCTAGGAAGTTGATCTAAAAATTAAACTACAATTACTAGCCCTTAATTAGAATGTGAGCAGCTTCTATATTTTCTGCCTGGATGTCTCATGAGCATATGGATTTCTTGCTAATACTGACCTTTCCTACATTTAAACAGTGATGTACAAGAGGTAATTGGGTTTGAGGAAGCATGTAGCAACTCCCACGAAGCCTTCAATTGCTTCTCTGGGGTATGGAGACATCAATTAAAAATTTTTTTCTCTTTGCATTCTACTTGATAGATAGTTGCCGCAATAATGGCAATCACTGGCATCGTCATGATGGCGTATGCAGATAATTTCCACGCTGATTCCATCATAGGAGTAGCATTTGCAGTGGGCTCGGCCTCGACATCTGCACTGTATAAGGTATTTTGTGCACTTCCTTATGTACTCAACTGTCATTCGTAGCTTAGACTTTTAAGTAATAAAAGAAGGAAGGACAAAGAAAATCTTGACTTGCAAAAAAAAAGATGGTTTAAATAATAACATGTACCAATTATTGAGTACTTGCTACAGGCTGGGTGCTTACTAGAAATTTTCACCTGTGTTAATGCACCTTTATGAGGCATAGGTACTTATCCCCACTTTCCAGATGAGGAAACTGAGACTTTGAAAGATTAAGTAACTTGTCCAAGATCATCCAGCCAGGAAGTGATAGAGCCAAGATTTAAACTCGGACTGGTCAACTCCAAAGCCCGTGGTCCGTGCCCCGAACCCTCCCAAATCATCCATCAGTTATAGCAGGAGCCGAGGAAGACTTCTCCCCTATGTTTCTTTAATTAACTACTGAGGTCATTATTTCAACTACCATGAGGTATTAAAAATACCTTGAGAGTTTACTGTTTGTTGCATATTAACCCCGTGCCGTGTTATGAGCTAAATGAAGAGCCTCTTTTCCTCTCTGATGGATACTCTGGGTTTGTACTCACAGTTCTTTCTCCCCTGGGGTGGCCTGTCATCAGTGAAAGCTCTATTCGGAGTCACTGTCCCTGACTTCAGAAGTGAGGATTAAGAGAGCAGATCTAAAAGGTTATTCACAGAAGCTCCACTTTTCAGAGCCAACTTTCTGGATGTAGCTAAAGAACTGTTCCACTTTCACCTCTCTTGGGGTTTCAATGAGAAAATCCTCTCTGAAAGGCAGAAAATGCCCTTTGCATCCCCCCTGGATGCCTGTTCCGATTATTCATCAACTCTGCTGCTCAGAGGACATTGTGTCTATTTCCATATCGACATTTCCTGGCCCACTGACTCTGTGACAAGCTTGACAGGTGTTCACTCAATCACCATTGGTGTCTAACTTGCCCCCAACTGAGTCTCCACGGAGATGTGTGATGGGACCAAATACCACGAGCACGTGCTCAAGTTCTCTTAAGTCTCTCAAGAGAAGAAAATGATACGTTTAGTTGAAATTAAAAGCAATACCCGGACTTGCTATATGCCTGGGATGGCTCTTTTATAGAGAGAATTCTCCTGACCATGTTACAGATGTATTCATTCTGGGAGTGGTAATATTTTGCTGACATGCACAAAATCGTATGTGCACCATAGAAAAGAGATACTCTGTGCTACATTGTTTAAGGATTAATAAAGGAAGCAGAGGGGTTAAAAAGCCAAGAAATATGGACTAGAGAACTGGCTCCTCCCCAGCCTGATGTGTGATTTAGGTTAGCTATACATGTCTCCTTGCCATCTTTTTCTACACACAGATTTATAATCCAGAAAACAAAGACCATCTTTTTTTAAATCTGGAGAATACGGTACTTGTGAAAATAGTTTCGGCTCAGAGAGAAAAGTGCTTATAAATCCATGGCATTGTTACTATTTCTCTCAGTAATATAATGATAGGGTCTCTCTGTCCAATTTCGTTTTCAGTACCTGTCAAAATAAGGGTAAAATGAATCCCATGCTTGAAGAGAAGAACTGACGGCACCTCAATCCTAGATGTTTCTGGGCTTGTCTGCACTCTTATTTATCATCCACGCCATAGCCATAACTGATGGTGGTGTTTTTCCCAGTGTTTCCCTGTGGCACAGAAAGTGGAATTCATTTTATGGCATTTGCTGTTTCATATGAAGGCTAGAGGGCATTTGAATTCCTTATCTCAGCAGCACATTTAGTGCCATGGAGACGGTGGGATAAGAAGACATAGAGCCTAAACCCTGGGCCAGTTAGTTCATGATGTAGAAATTGCCTTTCTGATACAGCAATGTCCCTGACTGTGTGGCTAATGAGTTCCTTTCTCGTTCTAGGTTTTGTTTAAGATGTTTCTCGGAAGTGCCAACTTTGGTGAAGCAGCACACTTTGTCTCCACTTTGGGTTTCTTCAACTTAATCTTCATCTCCTTCACCCCGGTCATCCTGTATCTCACCAAGGTGGAGCACTGGTCCTCGTTTGCAGCTCTGCCGTGGGGCTGTCTCTGCGGGATGGCAGGGCTCTGGCTGGGTAAGTGGCCCTGGGTTTTGCCTTCCATTTCCTATGTCACTTGACCTCTCCTTGGAGAGTTAAATTGTCATAGTAAGATTATTCCTTTGGGTACCACTGTCCTCTATTTCCCAAACTTACCTAACGTTGGTTAATGGTTGCAAAGTTCTTTGCAGATTATTGCTTGATTAGATCAGAGCTATCCAGCTAGTATGCCTCCCATGGGTTAAGTGCTGAGCTGATCACCACGGATCCTCAAGTAGCCTCGTCCATGCTTCATGATGTACTGTATGATGTTATTGTGTTCCATGTGTGGCACAGTGTGTCAGGTGGGGGGGGGAGAGTGGATGGGGGATTCAAGGGACTCAAAGTGGATCAAAATGGCAGGAGCACCAAGTGCAGAAGGAACTGGGGAGGAAGGAAGGAGATGTCATTCGGGAGGGCAGCAGGTCACGGAGGGCCTGGAACGCCACGTTGAGGGGATTGGCTTTCAAATCCACTTAATGATCTTTAAGCAGGGAGGTGACAGGCTTACATCTGCATTCTAAACAGTCTACTCTGGTCGTGTCTGGAGAATGAGTTTGAGATGGGAAACCCTCACCGAGAAAGAGAAGATGACAGAACAGGACGAGGTGGCCCTGCTAAGTAGGCTGTACCTAGCAGATGACGAAGAAATAGCCACCTGGAGTGTTTCTCATGTTCTGTCTCCCAACTCCCCATGACTCTGAGGCTGTCTGCTTCACCTGAGCAGCTGGGGGCTCCCACTTTCCAGCTGCGCTTTCATTTAATGTGAGAGGAACCTCAATATAACAAGCCCACTCTTTCCTCACCAAGCAGTTGAACAACAACAAACACCCAATGACTCAGTGTCTCTGCTCAGAATCAAACCCCTTTCGTTCTGCTCCTCTCCCCCCGTTCCACCCGGTAACAGCACCCTCTGCCTACTCCATGTTCACCTGCCATACTGGACCTGCAGGACATCTGCCGCCCCTCAGTTGACCTTATTTATCAAGGTGACATAGTCTGAAACAGCACTGCAAGTCTTAGGAGGGAAAAAGAATGCCCTTGTTTTCGTTCCCGCAAAGACATTGGGTCATCTTCTTCTACTCTGGCCCAGGCCCCTAAGGGGAGCTCTTCAACTAGACAGGAAACACTCACGAGAAAGATCAAACATTAACTGTTGATCCTTTAAATTCTACTTTTGAAGACCAAAAATGTGTAGTTATGACCGCTCATAACCTGTGCTAAATTGAGTAGTAGAAATCAATAGCAGTCTTTCCATAAGACCAAAACACCCTAATTAAAAGTGCCTAGATCTCTTCCTGGCCAAAAACAATCTAATTGGGAATAACCATAGCCCAAATTTCACTACCTCTTGGCCCCAGCTGTGACCCGTGATCTCCAGCTTGCTGCAAAGTAGCCCTCCACCCACGTTGATCCCTTGGCACCTCTAATACGTGCTCCTAAGCAAGCCTGCTCAGGCTGGGCATCACCCATGCTAGCCGGACCCTGCAGTTCTCCACCAAGCAGCATGATCTCCACACTGCACTGGGTGTAGTGCCACCCAGCTTAGAGCTGCCCCACAGGCTCATCCCCGTGCCTGGAGCCCTCTCTGTGCCAGGGTTGCCCTGGCAAATGAGGAGACAGCCTCTCTCCTGACTGTGTTACACACCCCAGGGTTTTACAATCTTCAGTGCTTCTGCTCTTGAGTTTTTATTGCCACCTTCTCTTCTCCATAGGAATCAGATATGATCTAGTGAGAGCAGGGCTGGAGGCAGATCTGAGAGGCAAAGAGCAGGCTGAACTCTGACCCCACCCCCCATCACCTGTAACTATGGCTTCAATCTGCTTAGGTTCACCTGGCCTCATTCCTGCTCTGGCTTGGCCATAGCCCACGTGCAGATTGACATCATCCATTCACCTGGCATGTCTGAGGCCCACTTAAACTCAGGCAGGGCCCCGTGCTATAGACAACATATTGAATTATGTATTCTTGTCCTGAGACTGTCAAAAGAGCTTGTAAGTGTTCCACCTAAAGCACTAAGGAAAAGCAGACACCCATTGCAGTGAAGCCACTCGGTTCTTGTTGAGTGAGAAAAGCTCAGTTCTCAACCAAATACCAATACTTCCTATCAATCTGCTAAAATATCCAGTTCAGCCACTAAAATGACAGTTGGGAAGTTTAGCAAAGTCTGTGCTGTGTTTAATAAATTCCTGATTTGTTAGAACAGGTCATATTTGACTCCCCAAACTTGAGGAGAGAGTTGAGATGCTGGAATATTCATTGCCATTGCAGCTCTGCCAAAAAGGAGTAGTTATCAACTTAGGAAGGTCCTCTGCCTTGATTGCCACTACTATTGTATGAAAATTATGAACAAGCCCAAGTTTTGTGAAAGTCCAACCCACCGTCTCTAACTAACAAGCAGGAGTGACTCCAGATGACTAAGTTAGTGAGTTTAATTAAAGTAAGAATTATAGATAACAGTAGAAGAATAAACACTGTCCTAACTGGAATGGTTCTAGACCCATCTTTGGTTCTACAGAGAACAGGCAACAGGGTTTTGGGTCATTTCCATAGAGATCCTTTCTGAATTGAGGACTTTTTGTAGTCATGAAGACTCATTTCTCTAACCCCTAAAACACATTAGCTTGAAATCTATTAAAATAATGCTATGTAATTTATCATTTTCTTTTCGAAAACAAGTATTTTTGATCATTTTTGTGTAGATAATTATTTTAACTAACTTTATATTTACCTAAAAATGTCAGAAGATATGTATTAAATGGTATCAAGTTATACCTACAGTTGGTTCTGTGGACCTGCCCTGGGGTTATCTGTGTACAAATCAGGATGTGGAGAAGGTGCCTGGGGTTTGGTGAATTACACTGCACACAACTTTGTTTGCTCATGTAATGCTCACCCCAAAAGAGAGGGAATAATGCAGTATAGGCCATCCTTGGACAGATCTTCTGTTAGGCAGTAACACCAGGGCCTTTTAGTTATTCAGGAATATAGTTATTCAGGATATAGTAAAGTAACAAGGGAGAAAGCCCCAATCAGTCACCAGCTTTCCACCTCTGGCTCAACTTTATAGTGCTAATGAGCAGGGTACTGAACTGATTATCTCACTTCTTTGCATGGCTCCCTACCCGCTTTGCCAACCAAGAGATCAGGCAGCCAGGATAGCAGAGGAGGAAAAAGGAATATGACTATTTCAGGTACAATACGTATGAATCCATCTCCAGAATTAGAGGATTAATTGACGAATGGTACAGATAATTTAGAAGGCATGTATAGCATAGACATGGATTCTTTTATGTTAAGAAGGAAAGAGCCCAGCATAGCAATTCCCCTTTATCCTGTATATCCTCCTTTATTTTACAGCCTTCAACATCCTGGTGAATGTTGGTGTGGTGCTGACATACCCAATCCTCATCTCCATCGGAACAGTGCTCAGCGTTCCTGGAAATGCAGGTACTGTACGATTTGACGTGTGCACAGGAAGTCTCCTGCTTGTGTTTGTTTTATACCCTGAATTGTTTCTTCGAGCAATTGTGAGTTATGTCACTTGCCTGGGAAGATGTTTTTAAATATCATGAAGGTGGCAGACAACAGAATAACTATGCATCACATTTAAAATTTCCAGCTACAAACACTGTTTTAACTTGGTTGTGCTTTTAGAATTAAATACCAAATGTATCATTTGGGTTTCATGTAATCTCCCTGACAACATAATTTTGTGGTATTTTTAGAGGAAGTCCTATGGAAACAAAAGGCATCCCAGCATAGGGCTCCCAAACATCACTAATGAAAGTGTAGGAAACATACAAGGTGTTGGCACCCCATCAGACTATCCATGGGGAGCTGTGAAAGACTCTCCTGGGGGCACAGCAGACGGCCCTCTGGAACAGACATAAGAAAAAAGCAATTTGACTCACTTCAGGGACAAGAGGAGAAGCTACTTTTCCAGGAAAATCTTTCTAGGTAAACTGTCCGTGGGACAAATAATGAAAGTGGGTTATCTGGATGACTGTATAGTCCTTCTAATTTTAAAATTCTATTTTTCCAAGTCTTAGGTAGCCATCTTTCTTTACCCCCAGTACAATCAGCAAATATTTATTGAGCACTTACTATGTGATCATGACTATAGAAGAGACTGGGAAAAAAAGATATTATTGTTCCCATAAGAAACTTACACTGAATATGGAAAACAAGACCGACATATATGAAATAACTTAGAACTCTACAAAGTAATTTATCATCAAATGCCAAATTGTGTAAAAGACTCCAAGGACTATAAGATATTTAGAGGAAAGTCATATCAGGGAGGAGTGGAGTTGTCAAGGAATTCCATTCATTCATCCATGAATTCATTCATTCAATAAATAATTTCTGAGCACTTAGTATATGCTAACAACTGTGCTAACACCTGGTGATAGATCCTGAATAAGACACAGCCTCTACCCTCAGGACCATGTAGTGTAGAAAGGAGATGAAAGGAACTGAGTAATTACAATGTAGAGAGAGAATGGCTTTGATAGAGGTATGTACTGAATGCTCTGAGCACACACAGGAGAGGCATCCAAGGAGCCTTCCTGCAAGAAGAGTAAAGGGAGGGATCTAACAGAGGGTTTAGCTGGATGAAGTGCATATGAAGAGGGAAGAGCATTCCATGCAAAGAGAACAGCATATATATGATTCCACTGCTAGTTACATTCCTGCAAAACTGAAAACAGGGACTCAAAAATATCCTTGTATGTGAATGTTCATACTATTTACAACAGCCAAAGGTGGAAACACCTAAATGGCCATCCAGAGATGAATTGATAAACAAGTTGTGATACAATGGGATATTACTCAGCCATAAAAAGGAATGAAGCAATAACGCATGCTACAGTATGGTTGAACCTCGAAAACATTATGCTAAGCGAAAGAAGCCAGATACAAAAGGTCACATACTGTATGCTTCCATTTATAGGAAATATCTAGAATAGGTAAATCCACAGATACACAGCAGGCTGACGGTTGCCAAGTGAGAGTAGTGGGCTGGGGAGTAACTGCTTAATGGGTACGGGGTTTTATTTTGCAATAATGAAAATGTTTTGGAAACAGATGGAGGCAGTTGTACATTAAGCTGTACAAAACGAATGTACAAAATGCTACTAAACTCACTTTAAGCCGGTTAATTTTATTTTATATGAAATTTACCTCAATTAAAATTTTTCAAAAGACTAGCATGTGCAAAGACCTAGACATTAATAAGCCTAGCTCGTTTAAAAAATCTTCAGTGGTCCAGTGAAACTGGAGAAGCATGAAGGGATGCAGAGGAAAAGTATTAAGAAATAAAACTGCATGTACACACTGCTATATTTAAAATAGATAACCAACAAGGACCTACTGTATAGCACAGGGAACTCTGCTCAATATTCTGTAATAACCTAAATGGGAAAAGAATGTGAAAAAGAATAGATACATGCATATGTATAACTGAATCACTTTGCTGTACACCTGAAACTAACACAACATTATTAATCAACAATACTCCAATATAAAATTAAAAAAAATTTTTTTTAACTGCAGAGGTTATTCAATCAGATGGCATTTGCCTGGAAGGGTAAGTATTATTTAGAGAGAGGGAATGGAAAGCAAATGGAGAGAGCGGTATTGATAATGACATGGAAAAAGAGAAGATGAGCTTGAGAGAACAAGAGAGACTTTTGGAAATCTCTTAGAAGTAGCACTGATGGGGTCATTTGTTTTCAGAGAAGCTTAGAAACAGTGATGGACTGACTGACTTGCTATTCCTTCCCTAGCTGTGGATCTCCTGAAGCAGGAGGTGATATTCAATGTTGTCCGCCTGGCTGCTACCATCATCATCTGCATTGGGTTTCTGCTGATGCTATTGCCGGAGGAGTGGGATGAAATTACCCTGAGATTCATCAACAGCCTGAAGGAAAAGAAGAGTGAGGAGCATGTGGATGATATCACTGATCCCAGTGTCCACCTGAGAAGCAGAAACAGGGCCATTGGGACTGTGTCCATACCACTGGCTTAGAGAGGAACACATTTTGAACGCACGTGTATGTATATTCTGTGAATATAATAAAATTTTCTCACCACCTGTACACTCAAACGACAGTATTAACTCTGAATTTGCATAAGTCATATGTGAAATAATGCTAACAATAAAAGTTTACATTTATATGCTTATCAAGGAACTGGTGTAAATAATCATAATAAATTTTTTTATTAAAACATATTCATACTTGTTCTATTTCTTCTGGGTTTTTTTTTGGGAGGGGGAGATTTTCCCCTAATTCACAAAATTTTCTCAAAATATGAGGTTCTATTAAATTATGGGCTTGTCATTACCTTTTTCTCACCTGGAACTGAGACCTTTTCATTCAATCAGAAAAAATTGCATAAGAGGAGAAAGTACATGAAAAGGATACACACTTTACATATATTTAAGTCCAATAAGAGCCTTCAATTTGAAAGCTGGAAAGTAATTAAGTATCAACAGAGTATCTTCCATATGCAAGACCTACACTAGGAACAATGAAGATGTGAAGATGTAAGACTCCATCTGTACTTTCAACATGCTTACAGGAGTACAGAGCATAAAAGAGGTTAGAAATATCTCTAATATGAGGTAGACATTTGGAAATGGTATAATGGTTATGGAGAGGACATCTATTTCACCAGTTTTAGAGCTGTTTACATTTGCTGTCACTTCAAGTCCCATTCACTCTTCAACCCACCTTCTGGGCACCACCTTCTGCCCACATCATTCCTCTGGTGAAGTGCATTCACCAAAGTCACCGATGACCTTTTTCTTGCAAAACCATATTGACACTATTCAACTCTTACTTTATTGTCCTCTCTGTAGCATTTGCATGATGACCATTCCTTTTTCCTGCAATGTTCTTTTCACCTAGATCCCATTATGGTCTCCTGGTTCTCTTTCTGCCTTACTGGCTGCTCCTCTGGACTCCTCTTCCTAGGCTGGTCTCATTGCTGTCCGTGTTCAGTCCTTGTCCTTCTTAGCATCTCACTCCACACTCTCTTCCTCAGAGATCTCATCTGCTTCCACGGCTTTCAATGTCATCCATGTGGTGATGGCTTCATAATATTTATCTCCAGCCCAGATTTGTCCCCCAAGCTTCAGATCTGACTATCCAAATTCCTTCTGCAGCCTCACTTGGATGCCCCATTGTTCACTTCACGTTCAAGAACATAGTTAAATCTATCATCTCTCCTCCTCAGACCTGCTCCATCCTCTCCCTTGTTGCCTGTCTAGGTTAATGGTACCATCATTCACAGGCTGCCCAAGCCAGAGATCAAACTTAACTTCTGCCTTCCTCACCCTCCACATCTAAACCATAAATCTTATTGATTACTTTCCTTAATATTTCTTGAATCCATGCACTTCTCTACTATGCTACCTATTCTATGACCCTATCATTTCCTGATGAATGAAATACTCACTTTACTGGTCTAACTCCCAGTATTGCCTCTCTCTAATCCCTTTTGTACCCTGCAGAATGACTTTTCTAATATATAAATTTGATCATTCTACTTCCCTATATAGAACACTTCAGTGACATCTCATTGTCCTCAGAGTAAGTTCCAAACACTTTTGCAGGTCATTCAAAGTTCATCACTGATTGGCTCCTGCCTACCTCTAGAGAAGCACCATACAGTAGAACTTTCTGTGATGATGGAAATATTCTATATCTGCACTGTCCAACATAGTAGCCACAACTGGCTATTTAAATATGGCTAATGCAATCGAGGGACTGCATTTCTAATTTTATTTACTTTTAATTACTTTTAAGTTAATATTAGTTAGCCGCATGTGGCTCTTGGCTACCATACTGGACAGCACACCTTCTACCACACCACCCCCTGCAGCCCCCTGGAATCTCTGTGCTTTAGTGACACCATCCTTCTTATAGTTCTTCAATCAGGACATGCTCTCTTTCTTGTACTTCCTTTTCCTCTCTCATCACCTGAATAACTCTTACCTAGACTTCATGACATGATTTATTCCTATTTTCGTGGAAGGTTTTTTCTCATCCCCCAAGCTAAACAATGTGACTTCCTTAGACACCTCTGCTTACTCCATTATAGCACTGGTCGCCCTCTGTGGCCACTGTCAGTCTACTCATCTGAGTTCCCAGTAGACCATGGGTTCCTTGAGAGCAGGGATTGTGTGGCATTCATCATCGTGTTTCTAGCATAGTGCCTGGCGCTTACAGACACTCAGGAAAGGAGTGAATGGGTTGCTTTACACTGGAGATATGCCCCCCTGCCCCCGAGCTGTATTAGATCAGTCTTAGTTAAGGACAGACATTCTCATAGAGGACGTTGGTTAAAGGAAGGGCCAAAAGGGATTAAATGTACCACAGCCTTTGTTACTGAACTGATAAAAGGCACTTCTTTCCTAAGAGGCTGGTTATCTTAGGGCATCTAGCAATTTAAGATAACCTGCCCTTTCTGGCATCTGTTGTACAATTCTTTTTTAATTCAAGTGGCCCCAGAAGTGTAGGTGAGATGGTCATGGGGCAAGAAAAGGGAACTTCAGATATCATATCTGCTGGCTGGGTATCATAGTCAATAAAAACCTTACCATTTTTTCATTTCTCTGTCATTACTTGAAAAGACAATGACAGTCTCCTGGCATTGGTAGATGGCATGATATTAATTAAAACAATAATCGTGACACACTTCAAACTTCATGAAAAATGGTAGAAAATAAATGAGGTATATTATTAGTAAATATGAATTAATTCATTATCTAAGTAGAGTTGGTTTTGACCATTTAAATGTCATAATGGTACAAACATTGCTCTTGCCTTGTTTTTAAATTGCTGTTAAATCGTAGTGATCACTGACTAACCCACTCCAGCATCTTGCCATTACTTAGCATGGCATTTAAAATTACATTTTGACATCTCTAAGAAATGAGCTGTTTTGCTCTTTTTGATAATTCATTTTGAAAAATTGAGTCAGCTACCCTGGAAAGCACTAATTCAACCTCTAACTGATCACCCTAATTAGCTCAGTCTATATTAAGAAAATACTTCCGTTATGGTATTCATTCATTTATTCATTCAAAAATTACCAAGTTCTACTTCTCGCTCTGAAGTAGGGTATTATGTTAGATTGTCACCCACTGGCCTCTCCCTGCCTCTAGAGCAGCACTGATAGAACTTTCTGTGATCATAGACATGTCCTCTCTTTGCACTGTGGTGAAAGGGATACAAAATGGATAGGAAATGGTCCCTGCTTCCAGGCATTTCAACCTTTAAGTTGTTACCATGGCAATGAAAACAACAACAATCACAACTCAGACACTTGTTTAAGTCACTTTCCCTTTAACTCAGGTCAAGTATTCATAAATAAAGGTAATAATACCTTTCCTTACTACCCCCCATGGTCGCTGGGAGAGTCAGTTGAGATAGCGTGTTTCAGTCACTGAACAAACGGGGGTGGGCCTCCTATGTCCCTATGATGTGCCTTCCTTGAGCCAGGTTCAGTTGGGTTTGCAGGGTACTGACAAAGTGCCTGCCCTCGTGGTGGAAGTACCTTGTTGAGGTTCCTATTATCCTGTCTCTTTATCCAAACTTGGTTCCTCCCCAGAGTCCAAGAGGCGATGGATTCTGTGGGTGACTGAACGGGCAGCACAGTGCAGAGATTGAGGGCACCCATGTTGTAGCCCCGACTCTGTACTTCTGAGATGCGGGCTTTAGTGAATTACCAACATCTCTCAGCCCCTTGATCTCACGTTCAGTACAATGAGGATATTAATGCCTATCATTTGGGGTTGTTGAATATAGTAAATAAAAACACACTGCCAGACAGTCCAGAAGTAGCTGTTGTTAGGATTTCCTCTGTCTGTTTACCTCCCTCCAGGACTTCTTCAAACCACTTATCCACAGCACTATGCCAAGCAAAGTCACAGAGCCTGGTGCCGAGCAGGGATTTTTACCCAAAATAAATGAGGGAGAAAAAAGAAGCTTGGCATGAGGAACACTAGGAGGAAGCCAAAAAAGGGGTGTCATTCCCATTGGTCAGTTCCCCTCGGCACTTTGCATCACGGCATTCTTGCCCAGCCAGTGGAACTAATTGCATGACAAAAAGACAGACTGGTGACTTGGGCTTTGAAATTAAAATCACTTCAACCACGTCCTGATCGCTTCACAAACACATTATAGGCAAATCAATTTTGTTCACCCAGGCTTTGCACGCCTGTTAATTTTGTGCAGGTGCTTTGTCAAGATCCACCAGAGGACAAATGATTTGGAGAAGGACAATGCAAGTGATAAAAGAGTGAACAGTGTAACCAGCCAAGCATTTGAATGTTTCTGATATTTAAGTACAAACCCTCTTTCTTACTTTTCAATAAACCCTTGTCACAAAGACAAAGAACACTAGCGCAGGCAATGCTGGTTTATCTGGCAAGCTAGGACAAGAAGTCTCTATTAATTCTAATTATTTTTATTTCTCTCCCGCCACCTCCTGTAGCAACTGGAGGTAAAGTTAAGAACAGGAGGTGATGATGTGGAGGTGGTCATGCCAAGAACCCAGAGACAGAAAGAGCAGACGCCCTGGGTTTTGAAGCACTGATTAGCCAGCGTGCTCCCACACGTGTCACAAAAGCAAAAGCTGCTTTGTCATTATTTGCAGGAGGTAGGAACCCCGGATCCTTTGGGAACTTGAGGGATCTTAAGAGCGAGAAATCTAACCTGGGCTCTCTGACAGAATTTTCAAAATAGTGTGAACTTAGCTGCGTTATTCTGGGGGAATCAATTCAGAGAATTTAGAGGCACTAAGTCCACAACTGTTCAGTACACTAGCCACTAGTCACATGTAGCTGTTGAACTATGGCTAGTCCAAATTGAGATGTGCTGTGTCACGTATCCTGGAGTTTAAAGACTTGGGGTGAAAAAGAGAAGGTAGGCTATTTCATTAATAGCTCTATACTCATTACATATTGAAATGAGAATATTTTGGATGTGTTAGGTTATATAAAAAATATTATAAAATTCATTTCACTCGTTTCTTTTTACTTTTTTAATGTACCTACTAGAAATCTTAAAATTATATCTAAGTCTTGCGTTTGTGACTCACGTTTTACTTCTATGAGGCAGAAATTCTCTAGAAGCTTAAGAATAACTTGGTTAGAGGGATAAAGAGGGAAATTTAGAAGAAGAAAATAGCTTTGGAAAGAAACAATTATTTGGTCAGCTTCTGTCAGTCAGGACAAAATAGACTGAGTGTTTTTCATGTCATGCAAGTTCAAACTGCCAGAAATGAGCAGAGAGAGGGAAGAAACAGAGGCAAGGACAACAATTTGAAATTGCAACTAACTGGAAAAATTTGTAAAGAACTGGAAGAATAACTGGGTTGAAACTAGCAAGGAATCTTCATTTGATATTAGAAGTGATAGAAACTGTAGAAGTGATAGAAACTGCCCTGAATTCTAGAAAGTCAGAAGATACTGATAACAGTTAGAGTGGAAAGGAAGAAGTTATTCTGGAAAAGACCACTTTGACTTTTAGATATTGTAATCAACTTGCAGAAAAGAAGCCAGATTGCATTCTTTAGAAGGCAATAATAGAGCTGCCCGCTCTTATGACATCTGTAAAGAGCAAGTAATCAAAGTGAAAATCAGGAATTCATTAAAGTAAACAGTTTCTGATATAAATCATAAGATCAGGGCAGATTTGACCTACAGGTCATAACTCTGATCAATAATTAAAAGATGCTTTCCAAGATAGGGCGATCTCCAGGGACAGGACAGTTAGATGGCAGCAAGAAACTTCGTAAGATGGCATTTACCTAGAAGTCACCAACATTTCAGGTCTGGTCCTCTGCACTGTGGACTCAGAAACTAAGTCTTCTTCATGTCCTAAAGACAGCCCAGTCATTCTCAAATTGCGATGCTGATACAGGACAGCAGCACACCGGAGACCTTGGTAGAAATGCACATTCTTGTGCCTTATTACAGACCCAGTGAAGCAGAATCTCTGGGGGTGGGGCCCAGGAATCTAGTTTTAATAAGTCCTGCTTGAAATTAACCAAGCACATGCTCAGGTGATGCCGGTGATTCCAATGCATGCTCAAGTTTAAGAACCCCTAGACTAATGACCACAGGACTACAAAGAGAAAATGTATTCATTGATAATCATAAACTGAACCGTCACATGCAACAAAACCCTCACATTAGTAAGGTTAGGACAACCTTTCCCTAAGAGGCAAATCTATCTGG